CTAGCGGGAACTGAACCCAGGACTCTCTGGTCTGTAGGCCCACACTCCAACTGCTGAGCCAAACCAGACAGGGCTTGTTCCTGGTCTTAAAGGAAACACTTTTAGTTTTTGCCCATTGAATATGATGTTGGCTATAGGTTTTGAAAAACCTACATATATGGTTTTCATTATGTTGAGATATGGTCCCTCTATTCCCACATTGCTGAGTGTTTTTATCAGAAATGGGTGCTTGATTTTGTCGAATGTTTTTTTTTAGCATCTATTGATATGATCATATGGTTTTTGTCTTTCATTGTTTATGTGGTGTATCACATTTATTGATTTGTGGATATTGGAGCAGCCTTGCATCTCTGGGATGAATCCCACTTATGGTTATGGTGAATATTTTTTTAATGTATTGCTGGATTTGATTTGCTAATATTTTGTCAAGGACTTTGGCCTCTATATTCATCAGGGATATAGGCCTGTAGTTTTCTTTCTTTGTAGTGTCTTTTTCTGGTTTTGAAATTGGAATTATGCTGGCCTCATAAAATGAGTTTGAAAGTCTTTCTTCTTCTTGGATTTTTTGGAATAGTCATAGGAGTTCCAGGAGAAGAGAATGAACAAGGGTTAGAGAATATATGTGAAGCGCTTACACACATGCGCTTGCCAAAAACCATATTGACAGTGGCAGATTTTAAAAGCTTTCGGCCATCTTCCAGCTTTTTCCCAGAACAATGATCAATCTTCTCCTTCAGCTCAGGAAATTTGCAAGCAATATGAGCTGTGCGGAAACACAGTATCACGTCCTCCCACAACCACATGAAAGTTACAACTCAACTATAGAACAACTATCATTAAGCCACCTAAAATCAAACTGAATGGAAGTCCTACAACTACAGAATTAAAGAAGCAGCCACATTGAGACTGGTAGGAGGGGCGAAGGAAGACGGGCTGGTCCCACACCCATGTGTGGCGGATAAAAATTAGGAGGATACTTGGCTGGGAAGGTGCTCCCTGAGGACCGAGGGGTCCCTGTCCCACACCAGGCGCCCCGCACAGGGTTCCAGTGTCAGGAAGAGAAGTCCCCATAACTTAAAACCAACGATAACTGAGGCTCAGGGAGGCTGAGGTGGCTGGAGCCTCAGGCAGCTCCTCAAAGGGCCCGTGCACGGACTTATCAGACTCACTCCCTCTAAACTTGGAGGAGAGACAACTCGAGGGGCACCAGAGACATACAGGGAAAAACTGAACTGTTTGGCATTGGAACGAGGGCTGGAGAGGGGGCTTTCTCCTCTACAGACGCGCTGTCAGAGGCCTTTGTTCCTTTGGTGAACCCTTCCCTGGGATGGCAGACAGCCATCCTGGGACTCCAGCAACCTGGCTCACACTGGTTGCCCTGCCCTGGTGATTCCCTTAGGCCCCGCCCCACCCAACTTTCAGGCCCACCCAAGCTGTTGCCAGTTGGTTAACTATAGGATTGGCCTGTCTTGGATCCGGCTTCAGGTTTACCTAAATTCTTTCAAACAAGCAGCATCTAGGCTCAGATAGCCCCACACCTCTCCTTAAGTAATACACAGAAACAAACACAGGGAGGCAGCCAAAATGAGGAGACAAAAAAACAGGTCCCACATGAAAGAACAGAACAAAACTAAGTGAAATGGAGATAAGCAACCTAACAGGTGCTGAGTTCAAAATACTCCTTATAAGGATGCTCAATAAACTTAGTGAGAACCTCAGCGAACCTAGTGAGGGCCTCAAGAGCATAAAAAAGGACCAGTCAGAAACGAAGGAGGCACGAACTGAAATAAAGAATAATTTACACAGATTCAATAGTAGAGTAGGTAAAGCCAAGAAGCAAACCATCGATTTGGAATATAAGGAAGCAAAAAACACCCAATCAGAACAGCAAAAAGAAAAAAGAATCCAAAAAAATGAGGATAGTGTAAGAAGCCTCTGGGACAACTTCAAGCATGCCAATAGTCGCATCTTGGGGGTGCCAGAAAGAGGAGAGAGAACAAGAAATGGAAAACCTATTTGAAACAATAATGGCAGAAAACTTTCCTAACTTGGTGAAGGAAACAGACATACTAGTCCAGGAAGCACAGAGAGGCCCAAACAAGATGAACCCCAAAAGGCCCACACCAAGACACATCATCATCAAAATGCAAAAAGTTCAAGACAGAGAGAATCTAAAAAGCAGAAAGAGAAAAGCAGTTAGTTACCTACAAGGGCGTTCCCATTAGACTGTGAGCTAATTTCTCAAAAGAAACTTTGCAGGCCAGAAGGGAGTGGCAAGAAATATTCAGAGTTATGAAAAGCGAGAACCTACAACCAAGATTACTCTATCCTGCAAAGCTGTCATTTAGAATCAATGGCCATATAAAGAGTTTCCCAGACAAGGAAAAGCTAAAGGAGTTCATCACCATCAAACCATTATTATATGAAATGTTGAAGGGTCTTTTTGAAGAAAAAGGTAAAAAATATGAACAAAGTGGCAATGAATACATAGCTATCAACCATGGAATCTCCAAACAAAATGAACAAGCAGAACAGCAACATTCTCATAGATATAGAGAACATTTTGTTGGTTGCCAGATGGGAGGAGTGATGGGGGAATGGGTGAAAAAGGTGAAGGGATTAAGAAGTACAAATTAGATGCTAGACTGACAATCCTCAAAGGGAAGGGGAATCGGGGGTGGGGGGTGAGAAGAAATAAACCAAAGAATTTATATGCATATATGCATAACCAATGGACACAGACAACAGGGTGGGAAAAGGCAGGAGGGGGGCAGGAGTGGGAAGTGGGTGTCAGTGGGGTAAAAATGAGGAACATCTGTAATACATTCAACAATAAAGATTAAAAAATTAAAAAATAAAAATAATAAATAAATAAAATTATATATACGTGTGTGTGTGTGTGTGTGTGTGTATATATATATATATGCTGTTTGACAATCCAGCACAAGTGCATAGCCAGCACTGATTTGGCCTGGATGGTTCAGGATAATCATGTGAGCTGTTATGGAAGCTGCTTTCATTGGTGGGTCATTTTTTCTGTTACCAGCTACACTGCCATGACAAACATCTTTGACAGACACATTCTTGACACTGAAGCCACATTGTCCCCAGGAAGAGCTTCACTCAAAGCTTCATGGTGCATTTCAACAGACTTTAAACTTCATTTGTAACATTGAAGCAAGTTGACTACCATGCCAGGTTTGAGAATGCCAGTCTCCACTCAGCCCATAGGGACAGTACCAATACCACCAATTTTGTGGTATTGGTGATACCCTGGAGGGACAGATACAGGGGCTTGTCAGTTGGATGGTTCCACTGGCACTGCCATCTTTATGGGTGACTTTCCATCCCTTGAACCAAGGTATGTTAGAATTGGCTTGTGCACATTGTCACGATTCCAACTAGAAATTGGCACAAATGCTACTGTGTCATGGTTGTAGCCAATTTTCTTAATGTAGGTGCTGACTTTTTAAACATATTTCCTCATCTCTTTTCTGGCTGTAACACAGCTCAATGGAATCCATAACAACATTATCAGTTGTTTCATAGGTAGTATGTCAGGAGAAGGGTGTGCTCATGGGTCTGCACATTACTGAAGACACCTGCTTCCAATTCACCACATGAGCAGCAACAATCAGGACAGCACGGTCAGTCTGAGATGTGCCTGTAATCATGTTTTTGATGAAGTCTCTGTGTCCTGGGGCATCAATGATGGTCACATAATACTTGCTGATCTTGAATTTCCACACGAAGGTATCAGTGGTGATACTATGTTCACTTTCAACTTTCAGTTTATCCAAGAGCCAGGCATATTTGAAGAAGCCCTTCCTCATCTCAGCAGCTTTCTTCTGAAACTGTTCAATGGTTCTTTTGTTGATCCCACCACATTTGTAGATCGGATGGCCAGTAGTGGTAGACTCACTGGAATCTACGTGTCCAATGATGACAATGTTGATATGAGTCTTTTCCTTCCCCGTTATGGCTTGGATTTAGTGGTGGTTTTCTTTTTTTTTATCCTTACCCGAGGACGTTTTTCCATTTTTTGTTCAGATAGAGCGGGAGGGAGAGAGAGGAAGAGAGAGAGAGAGAGAAACATTGATGTGAAGGGACACATCGAGTGGCTGCCACCCGCACAACCGACCAGGGCCGGGGACAAACTGCAACCGAGGTACATGCCCTTAGTGGGAACCGAACCCAGGTCTCTCGGTACCGCAGGCCAATGCTCCAACCGCTGCACCAAACCAGCCAGGGCGGTGGTGGTTTTCACAACACCTATGTTCTGACAGCAAACCTGTTGTGAGAAAAAAACAAAACAAAACTGTATTTTTGTAGGTTTTGAAATCAGGACATTTGAGTCCTCCAGTTTTGTTTTTTTTTAAAGATTGTTTTGCCTGTTCAGTTTTCTTGACATTCCATATGAATTTTAGGATGGATTTTTCTATTTCTGCAAAAAAACACTGGGATTTTGATAGAGACTGCATCTGTGAATTGATTTGGGTAGTATTGACATCTTAATAGTCTTCCAATCCATGAATGTGGGATGTGGTTCCATTTATTTATGTCTGCTTTAACTTTTTTCAGCAATATTTTGTAGTTTTCACTTATTATGAGATGCTTTTTAAAACAAATTTATATATAAACTTGTATTTGCCATCTCAAGGGTATGACAGAAAGGACTATATATAAATCCTTAAAATGAATCATAAAATTGATCTTTTGATTCCCAAGTAATTGGATAAGCTTATAGTGACCAGAACACTCACTCTAGAAAGCAATCGATTTTTAGATTATTTCAATAAATATTTATTTACTTTACTATAAGCCAGAACATTGACTATACTAAACATTCAGAATTCAGTGGTAAGCAAAAATGTGGTCATAGTTTCTGCTTTCATAGAGCTTATAGTATTTATGGAGTACTTCTGTGTGATATTACATGCATTAAAAAATATGACATAGTGTCACAATAACCTTTGTCCTCCTGATACCTCATGCGGTAGAGGTTGGTTCGTGAGCCCCAGAACCTGGAACACTGGCTGGACTATGGTGCCTTCTGCCTCCTAACTCAGGACAACACCAAAGCACAAGAGTGTTTTCGGAAAGCCCTGTCCCTCAACCAGAATCATATCCACAGGTATGGGTGAAGGGAGATGGGGAATGAATAGGAGCAGATAAGCTTCTATATGAAGTTGTCTTGATTCCGTGACTGTGACATGGACCCATGTTGTTAATAATGCTGGTGGTCTCTTCACAGCTTGTTGCTGTGTGGTGTCCTGGCTGTCCTGTTGGAGAACTATGAGCAGGCAGAAGTTTTCTTTGAGGATGCTACTTGCTTGGAACCAACGAATGTTGTAGCCTGGACTTTACTTGGTATGATATTTTCCTGTGATATGAATGTGTTTTTATTCCATTATAAGTTCTCCCTTTGTGTTTCCACTTTTTTTTTTTTTATCTTCACCCGAGGACATTTTTGCATTTATGTTCAGATAGAGCGGGGAGGGAGAGACAGAGGAAGAGAGAGAAACATCGATGCGAGAGAGACACATAGAGTGGCTGCCACCCACACAAACCCAACCAGTGCCAGGGACAAACTGCAACCAAGGTACGTACCCTTAGCGGGAACTGAACCTGGGACTCTCTGGTCTGTGGGCCAACGCTCTAACCACTGAGAAAAACTGGCCAGGGCTGTCTTCCCACTTTTTAATGGCTCTCCATGTATTTCTTAAACTTTGGTAAAAATGTGGGAAATGTAGCCCTGGCCGGTTTGGCTCAGCGGTTAGAGCATCAGCCTGCGGTCCTGAGAGACCCGGGTTCGGTTCCCGCTAAGGGCATGTGCCTTGGTTGCAGTTTGTCCCCGGCCCTGGTCGGTTGTGTGGGTGGCAGCCACTTGATGTGTCCCTTTCACATCGATGTTTCTCTCTCTCTCTCTCTCTCTCTTCCTCTCTCTCCCTCCCACTCTACCTGAACAACAACAACAAAAAAATGTGGGAAATGTAAGTGAAATATTAAAATTTTTCAGTAGATGATGGTGACAAATTAGTCACATTTATTTCAGCATCTTTCTTTCTTCAGGTTTATATTATGAAATTCAAAACAATGATATTCGAATGGAAATGGCATTTCATGAGGCCCTCAAACAGCTTCAGGCACGAGTAACAAAGCAGAAGAGCACTGGTACTCTTCTTGAAATACCAGTTGAAGAAGGAGGGAAAGTTACTGTAGAGTCCAGTTTAGGCATCTGCAGAATGGCTAGTGGTTCTTCTACAGGAGCACTCAAGGTGGACGCCCCAACAGGTAGGACCAAGAAATGGAGATGATTAGAGGCTATTAGAAAAAATTACTGACTGTATAAATAGAACCAGGCATAGTAGGAACTCAGTAAATATATGTGAAATGAATAAATAGGTGGAGTTTTGAGTTGTTCCAGGAATACCAGGGGGAGAATCCTCCAAACTATTTCCTCATTCATATGATTGAAACTCTCAAGCTTGTACTGTTGTTAATTCATTTTTTTTTTTTAATTTCAGAGAATTTACTGTCTCTGTGTACCCTTAAAAGGAATATTATTCTGGCAAAGTAAAATTTCCCCCCTCGCTCTCTTTCCCAACATGTAATTCTCTAGTGAGTCCTTTGTTTGTTTGTTTGTTTATATACTCTCTTTTTCCCTGTTCTTCATTGCCATTCTCTTTTTCTCTACTTTAGGAAATTGGTCATTCTGCCATGTGTTTGATGTGTTTCTTGCATATGTTACTACATATTATTTTGTATGCATATATTTTCAACAGTTTGTCTGAAGTATAATAGACATTTTATACACTGCATATATCTAAATGTACAATTTGATAAGTTTTGACATATAAACATACCCATTAAAATATCACCACAATCAAGATAATGAATCATATCTAATATCCCAAAAATTTTCCTTGTGCCCATTTGTATTCTTTTCTCTTGCCTTCATTGCCCGACAACCACCAATTAGCTTCTGTCACCATAAATGAGTTTGTATATTCTAAAATTTTAGAATTCTAGAAAAATTTAGAATTTTTGAGAATTTCTAGAACTAAATAGAATTGTAAGTATGTACTATTTTTTTTGGTCTGACTCTTTCATATAGTATAATTATTTTGAGATTTAAACATGCTTTTGCTTATACTAGGAGTTAATCCCTTTATATTGCTAAACAGTATCCCATTATCTGAATATACCACAATGTGTTTATATATTCACCTATTTATAGATACTTGGGATGTTTACAGTTTGGGACTATTAACATAAAGTTGCTGTGAATATTCATCTACAAGTCTTTGTATGGACATATACTTAATTTCTTTTGGATAAATACTTAGGAATTGAATGGCTGGGATCATGGGTTATTCAGCAGGATATTTTAATTTTCTAAATAGTTGGGAACTTTTTCATATATCTTTTTTATTTCTAATTTAATTTGATTGTGGTAAGAAACATACTTTGCATGATTTGAATCCATTTAAATTTATTTTGACTTGTTTTATGGTCCAGCATATGATTTATCTTGATAAATGTTTCATAAACACTTGAAAAAAATGTGTATTTTCCTGTTTTTGAGTGGAGTGTTCTGTAGATATCAGTTGAGTTTAATTAGTTGATTGTGTTCAACATCTTTTATCCTTTGCAGTTTTGTGCCTTTGAAGTTTTGTTTTTATAGTTCTTCCTGCCTCAAGACTTATTATCTTCAATGAACTTTATCATGTTAATTTTACATTTAGCTCTTTATCAGGATCCCATCTTCAAATGTGATGCATCCAAATGTAGGCATCCAATTTTATTTTTCTCCATATAGGAGTCTAGTTTTGAAAAAAATCATTAATTAAACAATCATATCTTACCCTTAGATTTAAGGTATATATGTCTTTGAGCTGTATTCTGCCTTTTGTCTGATCTTAAGACAGTATCACACTCTTTTTTATTGCAGTGCTGTTGTAGTATGCCTTAATATCTGGTATATCAGGTTCTCAATTTACTTGCCTTATTTATACCTGACTTACTTATTGATAGATCTTTATTAATCTAAATGGATTTTATAGTGAGTTTATCAAGTACATAAAAAATTCAGTTGAGACTTGGCCGGTTTGGCTCTGCAGTTAGAGCATCAGCCTGCAGACCAAAGGGTCTCAGTTTCAATTCTGGTCAAGGGCACGTACCTGAGTTGCAGGTTTGATCATGGACTCTGGTCAGGGTTGTGTGGGGGGCAACCAATCAATGTGTCTCTTTCACATCAATGTTTCTCTCGTTCTTCCTCCCTTCCACTCTATCTAAAAGAAAAGAAAGAAAGAAATTTAGTTGACATTTAAAAATATATATATATATTTTATTGATTTTTTTAGAGAGAGAGAAGGGAGAGGGGGAGAGAGATAGAAACATCTGTGAGAGAGAAACATTGATCAGCTGCCTCCTGCATGCCCCTGACCGGGGTTCGAGCCAACAACCTGGGCATATGCCCCAACCGGGAATTGAACCAGCAACTTCTTGATACATGGGAAGATGTTCCACCAACTGAGCCATACTGGCTTGGCTGAAACTTTTATCTGGAGTATACTGAATTTATAGATTAATTAATATATATAATTTAAACCATTCTATCCACGTATGTTAAGATTTCTCCATTTACTCTATGTACTTTATTAAAGTTTTAACATTTTCCCCAATGAGGCCCTGTTTAAGTAATTCATAGATATTTTATAGATTCCATTGCTATCATAATAGGATCTTATTTTAATTATATTTTCTAGTTGGTTATTACTGGTATTTTTTAGTGTATGCTATTGATTTTATACATTTTAGATTTAGTTATTTTTATATCCTCACCCTAGCACTTTTTTTTTTTTTTTTTTTTTTGTGCATTTTATCTTCAGATAGAGCGGGAGGAAGAGAGGGGGGAAGAAAGAGAGAGAAACATTGATATGAGATACATTGACTGGTCGCCACCCACACAACCCCAGCTGGGGCTGGGGACAAACTGCAACTGAGGTACATGCCCTTAGTGGGAACCGAACCCGGGACTCTCTGGTCTGTGGGTTGATGCTCTAACTGCTGAGTCAAACTGGCCAGGGTTAGAATTATTTATTTATTTAGATTTATTTATTTATTTATTTATTTATTTTATCTTTATTGTTGAATGTATTACAGATGTTCCTCACTTTTCCCCCATTGACCCCCTCCTCCGCACTCCTGCCCCCCTCCTGCCTCCCTCCTGCCTTTTCCCACACTGTTGTCTGTGTCCATTGGTTATGCATATATGTATATAAATTCTTTGGTTTATTTCTTCCCACCCCCCCAATCTCCCTTCCCTTTGAGGTTTGTCAGTCTAGCAACCAATTTGTACTTCTTAATCCCTTCACCTTTTTCACCCATTTCCCCAACCCCCCTTCCATCTGGCAACCAACAAAACGTTCTCTGTATCTATGAGAATGTTTCTGTTCTGCCTGTTCATTTTGTTTGTAGATTCAATTGTCGATAGATATGTATTCATTGCCATTTTGTTTGTTCATATATTTTATCATTTTTCTCAAAAAGACCCTTCATTTCATATATTGACAGTTTGGTGGTGATGAACTCCTTTAGCTTTTCCTTGTCTGGGAAACTCTTTATATGGCTATTGATTCTAAATGACAGCTTTGCAGGATAGAGTAATCTTGGTTGTAGGTTCTCGCTTTTCATAACTCTGAATATTTCTTGCCACTCCCTTCTGGCCTGCAAAGTTTCTTTTGAGAAATTAGCTCACAGTCTAATGGGAACGCCCTTGTAGGTAACTAACTGCTTTTCTCTTTCTGCTTTTTAGATTCTCTCTTTGTCTTGAACTTTTTGCATTTTGATGATGATGTATCTTGGTGTGGGCCTTTTGGGGTTCATCTTGTTTGGGACTCTCTGTGCTTCCTGGACTAGTATGTCTGTTTCCTTCACCAAGTTAGGGAAGTTTTCTGCCATTATTGTTTCAAATAGGTTTTCCATTTCTTGTTCTCTCTCCTCTTTCTGGCACCCCCAAGATGCGACTATTGGCATGCTTGAAGTTGACCCAGAGGCTTCTTACACTATCCTCATTTTTTTGGATTCTTTTTTCTTTTTGCTGTTCTGATTGGGTGTTTTTTGCTTCCTTATATTCCAAATCGATGGTTTGCTTCTTGGCTTTACCTACTCTACGGAAAACCTGAAGCCGGATCCAAGACAGGCCAATCCTATAGTTAACCAACTGGCAACAGCTTGGGTGGGCCTGAAAGTTGGGTGGGGCGGGGCCTTAGGGAGTCACCAGGGCGGGGCTACCAGTGTGAGCCAGGTTGCTGGAGTCCCAGATATGTCGGCTGTCTGCTGCCCCAGGGAAGGGCTCACCAAAGGAACAAAGGCCTCTGACAGCACATTTTTCCCAGAGAAAGCGCCATCTCCAGCCCTCGCTCTAATGCCAAACAGTTCAGTTCTTGCCTGTATGTCTCTGGTGCCCCTCGAGTTGTCTCTCCTCCAAGCTTAGAGGGAGTGAGTCTGATAAGTCCGTGCACGGGCCCTTTAAGAGGAGCTGCCTGGGGCTCCAGCCGCCTCAGCCTCCCTGAGCCTCAGTTTCTGCTGGCTTTTCCAGCCAAAAGTTACGGGGACTTGTGTTCCTGGCACTGGAACCCTGTGCGGGGCGCCTGGTGTAGGATGAGGACCCCTCGGTCCTCAGGGAGGACCTTCCCAGCCAAGTATCCTCCTAATTTTTATCTGCCACACATGGGTGTGGGACCAGCCCGTTTGCCTTCGCCCCTCCTACCAGTCTCAATGTGGCTGCTTCTTTAATTCTGTAGTTGTAGGACTTCCATTCAGCTTGATTTCAGGCAGTTTTGAATGATAGTTGTTCTATAGTTGAGTTGTAACTTTGATGTGGTTGTGGGAGGACGCAATACCGTGTTTACCTACACCACCATCTTGACTGGAAGTCTCCTATTTATTTATTTTTGTTAATCTTCACCTGAGGATATTTTTTCCATTGCATTGATTTTTAGAGAGAGTGGAAGGGAGGGAGGGAGGGGGGAGAGAGAGAGAGAGAGAGAGAGAGAGAGAGAGAGAGAGAGAGAGAGAAACACTGATGTGAGAGAGACACATTGATTGGTTGCCTTCCCCAACTGGGGCCGGGGGTCAAACCTACAACCCAAGTATGTGTCCTTAACTAGTAATCAAACTCATGACCCTTTGGTTCACAGGCTGATAATCTAATACTAAGCCACACTGTCCAGGGAACATTTAGTAACTCATTGATTATAATAGATTATTATTAATTCTATTGTTTT